GAAAATAGCGTATGTACTCAAAGCCGCAAAAAGTTAGCGTGTAAAAAAAGGCTAGGAAGCAATTTGAACTGATTATTGGTGGTAAATTCCTCCGAGGCGCCCCATGCATTGGATTTCCGATCAGAAAGAGGACGATGAGTTGGCTAGCACGACGCCCCCTATCGCTAGTAATGCTCAAATTGTCCCTTTAACTCTGTAAACGTCAAACTCCTCTTATCTCCTTTGCCCTCAGTTTCAAGCGAAAAACAGGTCTTCAGGGGACCGGCAGTCGCGGGAGAAATCGTGGGAATCTCAATTTTACCAAAGTCGGGCACGTGGTGCGTTAGAGATCTCAGTCGTTGTCGTATTTCCGTCTCAGCATAGCACTAGTATGTCCGCCCACCTTTGAGTCAGAGAAGCCGTAAATCTTTCTACTTTCGACACGTTGATCGGAGGTGTCCACTAACTTCTCCCCAATCCTTCCCGCCCCCACCTCCGCCTCCCCACTGCTGCGTAAGCAGACTTTTGAAAAGCCTGGTAAGGTGATCGGGGGGGCGGGGGGAGAGGGGCGGGACGGGCGGGACAGGAGGGGGCGTAAACCGGCTGCTGGGATTCACGTCAGCGTTTCTGTGCCAGTGGGACCAACGATCTCGCTGGTGTGGTTCGCTTTCTGGCCACACAGCCTATGAAATATTATAATAGCATAACTATTGTCAGTTCACCGATTCTGCCTTGAGAGAAACGGGTTTTGATGGAAATGAAACGCCCATATAAATACACGTGTTCGCGCTGATCGTTTCCATTTTGAAATTGGCAGCAATCCAAAGCAATCTTTAGAAAGCGTCAGAGAACAGTTGGTCGTGCGACGTCACTGTCCTTTGCCCTTCGATGCCCTGTCATCATCAATTATGGCATATTTTTAGGACGATGTTTGCTAAGGGCTATTGAAAAGGAAATGGGGAACGAACCCTGCTCCTTGAATGGCGCCCGGAATTCATATGCGTGCTGTAAATATGATGGGTATCCAAAACAAAATGTCTATACCTGGCAATAATGTTACGATAGTCCGATGCCTGAATTTACGACCCCCACAGCGAACCTAGCCAAGATAACCCCTGCAATTTGTTATCGGCGGACCGCGTTAGTCCCATTTACATGGAATGAATTTGTCGCGACGCAGGCTGATAACGCTAGGGTTCACTGATGGCGGAACAGTTTTCTTTCAGCACGTGTGGTACCTATTCGGATCAGGGCACGTCCTTGGGGATTCCCCAGCAGAATGGGAAGGGGGGGGGGGAGGTATTATCGCCGTACGGAGGAGCGAATCGTATTTTGGTGCGGAGGAATTTTTTTTGAAAGTGGATTTTTTCTGTTCGTGGGCCGTCGTTATTCCCTCGCGTGAGAAAATTCCAGCTGGAAGAGTCCTTTTAGCTCATCGTTTGGGTTGTGACTGCCTCATTTATTCCGTTGAAAAGAGGGGTGCGGGGTAGCAGAACAAAATTGGAGGAGGTCGTTTTTCACCTAAAAATTTCCCCAGCGAAATACGTGCCCTGAATGGGGAGGACGAATAGGGTTATGATGGGTACTCTGAAGCGACCAGGAAAAGTTCAGGGCAGAGTCAGCATGACCCTGCCCTGACCCTTGAGCTCACGTCCGCAGATGACTCAGCTGGAGAAAATACAGGACAGAGACTGGGAAGTATGCATGGTCCGCTGTTCCAAAACGAGATTCGTTAACACAGATGCGCGTGCTACGGAAATCTCCAACCGAAGGGTGCAGGAGAGGGCGGGGGTCGTATTTTTAGTAAAAGCGGTCACCATTTCACTCGAGTGGATTTTTTTGATATTCGTTGTCCGGTCGCGCCGCTAGTCTACACACGTTGGCAGATTGCCATAGGGCACCGCAAGTATGTCTTACTCATTCGGGGTGGACGATGGGGTCTTATGATGTGAAAATTTTCCCCAGAGAGCGGAAGTGCCTCCCACTGCCATTACATCCACTTAAACCCTTTAACCGGAACAATCTACGAGGAAGATTTTTATTCAATACATTCCTCCTCCCCTCCACCAAAACCTGTTGAACGATACCCCTCTTGATCAAAAATCAGAAAAGAGTGAATTTGCTTTGCCCCCAACAAAATACGGGAGTATATTGCATTTGATGCGGGAAAAGTTAGCAATCAAGAAGTTTGCCCAGACTGAGTACGACCCTCTCAACACAAAGTTAATTTTGACTCTCTCCCCCCCCCCACTCACTCCAGCGGACTGTACGCCAAAGTCGGGAGGTGCTGCATTTTCGAGAAAGTCCTTGCTTCGTGCTTTGTAGCTTATGGTTCAAGGCAAAGCCGCGGCTCAATTTGCCATCTTGGATAGTGTAAGAGGACAAGGTTCAGAGTAAATCAATAGTGAAGAAAAAAGCAGAAAAAACATGCCCCAATATCCCAAATAGAGCCCCATTCCAATCCTAGTTTGTACGTGCATGCGATGGAAAAACGGCGCTTGTGGACGAGCGTTCCGAATTATTGGCGCGCTGCCAGAAACAGGTGCGGCGCCTCGTTGGAAAGATTTTCTTTACATTTTCGGGGGATTAATCCTTACTTTCTCGAGGAACCAAGCTAGTCGCGACGGGCGGTGACTTATTTGCTCCTGCTTCTTCTAGAATATCAAAAACCAATAATTTCACTTGGAAAAGCAACCATTATTCTCCGTTTTATCTTGTACTCACTGCCCACTACTTATTTTTTTGTTTTGTTAACTTATTGCTCCGTATTTATAATAACGGACCCATGAGGTAACTCGAACATGTTTGCAAAAGTGGCTGTTCTTTTTTCATAGGCACAGAACACATATGGAAATACCTTGATGAATCTACATCTACAGGGGCGTTCATTTTAACACAGCACTTTGGTCTCTTCACAGTCTTGTAAACCTGGAATAATTTAGCTGGTTTTCACATACAAGCGTCGCAAAGAGATTTTCACACAAAACTTTTCTCTTTCTTTTCAGTCTTCTCAATAATCATTTAGGAGTCTTGCTGTGTATGACGTACAGCGCCGAGCTCTCCATTGTTGCGTGGTGACTATCATGACTGTGTTATCAAATATACTCGCTAGGTGTTCAGAGAGGCACAGCCGTTTACATACGATTTATTATTACAGGCGTTTATATGCGATTTGTTGTTACTCTTCAGAGTTTTGTGATCATCTCAAAATAATTTATAAAACGGAAAACGAACAAGAACGACACTTGCATTGAAAACCAGCTCTTAGCAGTCTGGTCTAATACAAAAGATTCAAATGAACCTGGTCTACTCCGCCCACAGATGGTAAGCCACTATGTGTAGGACCTAATTTCGAGTGCGCATTCTTCTGGATTTGGAAAAGCAATTAGATTGTGAAGATGAAAGTATTGACTTGGACAAAATGTTTTTGCGTTGTTTAGGTTTCACTGCTGAATATATACGCGCAGGCCAATTTTCTACGAGACCAGCTAAGGAAGGGTTATGTGAACATTTCATTAGCAAGTTTGAGCTTACGATATGCAGGAGGGAGTACTGAGTGAACACATTGATCGATGATCCGATCAATACCACAGTTACCCGTGCACACGCATAAGGTAAAAGCGTAAGGATCGAGAGGCGAAGCGTGTCCGGTCCCCGTCATGAAGATCTGAATGGGATTCATGACTTTCTAGTTTTCACATTGGCACTACAACAAAGCTCCATTTCACCCCTTTTTTTCAACGCAACGACGAAATCAATAAATCAATAGCATTCATTACCTTTGCATATGTACATGACAAGAGCTTTTCAATACATCATTTTCAAAAGCACAAAAAAACATTCAAAGAAAATCACATATCACCTCACTGTTTAGAACTCTTCTGAATATATAGCATCACCGTCACGAAGAAATGCAATTGTAATAAAGAAAAAACAGCTTTCCACACAATATAGAACAAATAAAAAATGTTGGAAAGAAGGCGCGCGGTGGCGCAGCGGATGTCTCCTAGAGTCAAACCAACTCCTTATGTATACAGCAACCGTACACTCAATGTAAAGAAGGCTGAGGGCACATCATCGCTGGGGATTCCCCAACAAGGAGGTCGTCTTTCGTCGCTGGGAGGAGGGAGTCCTATTTGGTCTGAGAATTCGCTTCTGATAGCTGATTTTCCTTGTTCAACAGATGCCCTCCCCTGCTGCACAGCACAGTCCTAGGGATAAACCAGAGATTCTCGGGAATTTTCGGAAACAAACTGGCAGGAAGCTTGGAAAATCTAGGAAAGCAATAGGTAGGAAGGAAATGGATCAAAGGAGGGTTCGTGCCAAGTCACTACATCTAGGAGGGAGGCCGTACAGACTCAACGGAAATCCCCAACTAATGATGTACCCGAGGCTTACATCATCAATGTGGATTGAACAGATGACGACGAGAAAAAAATTATAAAAGCCCCTTCTCCGAAAAAATGTAGGAGAAATGATGATGATATCTCTTTACACGTGAATCAATGTACCTGAGTACTTTTTCCGCATCCAGTATCACCAGCTATTATAAGGACTTGATTCTGAAAATATTTTTCTGCAGATTTGCGAGATAGAAATGGCAGATTTGTGATATAGAGATGAGACAAAAGTGTAAGAATAAATAAATAAATAAAAACAGGTAAAGAACAAAAGTGCAAACCACTTACATCCCGTAGCAGTTCTAGAACGAACGCGCTTATTTTTCGCCAGCCATATTCAAAATGTCGAATCGTCCATGGAGGTATCTGGAAAGAGACGTAGCTAAAAGAAGCCAAATTCAGTATTACCATCACGGTAATACATACATCACATCCAAGTATAGACATTACATTACATCAGCCATCGACTAAGAAGGTAATCTCACAGTACATCCAAGTATAGACACAAATTCTTCGGTGGAATTAAGAAAAACTCACATGACTGAGATGGCTAGGTAGGTCTTGAAAATTCTCCTGAGCAAAACAAAGCATCTTTTGCTGATATCTTGTGGAATTCCATAATCAACACATTTGAGCCGCTTCAATTCGAAGTGATCCTTGTTCCCACCACCGCTCCTTCAAGGGGTAGCTTTCCACCACAAAGGAACGAAATCACAGCAAAAACCGAACTCACCGTTACAAACGATTGAAGTAGTTGTTGATGAAAAGTCTCTGAGTTTCCAGAACTTTCCTGGCTAGCATCTTTGCCATCTGAAACTGTACAATAATTTCAAAAAAAACTAGACCAGCGACAAGGTAACAGTCGAATTCAATGATTTGAATGAATTAGTGAAAGTAAATTAAGTACCTCGCTGCGAGCCTCGGATGATCGTTCGCAGCGGATCCCAGGTAGTGGTTTTTTCAAACTGTGTCATATGCTTCTGACAATGAATACATGCATGTGTGCTTCAATTCCTGCAAAAGCGCGCCACACAATAAAGTCTGTGCAATTGTACGTAATTCGACAATGTGCCGTAAGGCATTGTTCAAAGTCTGCGGCCCAGCGTCTCTCCTGAACGCAGTGGTTCGGCGAAAAAATTTTGATACATTGCAACAAACGTAGAAAAGGATATAAAAAGATCAAAGCAGATTGGAAACAAACTCACTTCTGCAAACGTTGAAGCAGCGATGTGCAGAATAGGTAGGGCGAGGTAGGGAATAGAAGTGTAAAACAGCAACATGAGAAAAAAGCGACCACATGCATGGACGGCCTCAATGAAACATCACATATCTGAAAAAAAGTAACACCGCATTAAATTTACAATGATTAAACGCGTAAAGCCGTTTTTACGACACATAAAAATTTAAATAAGTAACAGTAGTTTACAAAACATGATAAAGGGAAACAAAGAGCACGATTGATTTCGTTTTACCACCTTCGCGCGCTCAGCTGATCCAATACAATCCTACGTCCGTGCAAATGACGAAAGCGCTTACATTTTCATGCTTTTCTCGTCCCACAACTTGGTTTTTCACTGAAGGGCGGCGCTTGGGAGGCGGAGTCACTGGAAAAAAGGAGGAACCACTGGACCTATTTTGCCTTATAGCGCCCCTCCCCTGCACTTTTTTGCCGCGAAAACGGTACAGGGTTGTTCGTCGCGGACCGCACTACCCTCCCGACGCCATACGACGCATATTTTCAACTTCGATACCTGATCGCGGACGGTTCCTTTAAGTTACTTCATTGGTAATCATCTTCTCGAGTGCATATTCTCTGTCAAAGATTTAGGCTTCTTTATGACAATAAACTTTGTCTCTCTCAACACTATGGAGCTCTCTACAGAAGGCTACAGTACCCGCCGTAAGTGTTCAAAAAATTACGAAAAAAACGCCGATCCGCGTTTTTTCGTTTTTCCGTTATAGAGCTGTTCCTGTTGAATTTTTGTATGGATACCA